TACTCTGAACTTGTTCTGAGTTCAAAAGTAGTTTGATGGGTTTCGAAAAGTATAACTGCCAAAGAAAACTGTGAATTACAGGCAGTATTGCCTGGTTTCTAACTTCAGGAATCTTGAAGGGCAATTTAGATTATACTATAATCGTTTTTGAACTGGGAACAGTTAAAAATTTAAATATGTACTAAACTGATGTATCGACCCCTCTTGGTCTATTAAAAAAACATTATTTTGGTCAATAGCTATGTTCTCTTTTGCACAATTCTTGGAAATATATACTGTATACTGTATGGTACAAGAAATGATAAAGCTGCTGACTCATCCAGTTATATGCTTAATATACTATTTCTATTAAGATTCCAGAACTACAACTTTAAAAGGCGAACATTAACATTTAAAATTACCACATTTAACATGCACATCCACCCACGCGTGTTTGTGTGCTCTGATTGAAATAAAGTTGAAGCTTTTAACATTTAATAAGAAGAAAATGAGCAATAAGATTAGATGTAGTTTTTTTCAGGATGACCAAACTTCAAAAAAAAAGTTAACTTTAGGATTCATATTTGTTTATTTTTCTGAAAAGTCTGCTTTGTTGACTGAGTTACACTACTATAATAGATAATATATTATAAATTATGCCTTTAGCTGTGTTCTGATCAATTTTATATTTATTTTGAATACATTTAATTGTAGTTATGTAACAAACTATTTATGACACTCAAACTTTAATACTAAGTGCGGTTCCTTAAAATTGTATTTCAAAATGTTCTTCTAATATTATAGATATTAGGACTACCCTTATAAAATTAAGTCCCTCAAACACAACTGAGATTGCAGTCCTCAAAGTGCTTTTCTCAGTGTAAATTTTATTTCAGTTTAGTGGGATTCTCAGGTGTAATATTTCACAGGTTACACTGGAAAATTTCACTATTTAAATATGTGTTTGTTTCATAGATGGTTATTGATTTAAGTATGTTGTAATACCCATCTTCAGTAAAACACATATATTTATATAGAGAGATTTCCTCTTACCGAGAAAAAGGTAAAAAAGATTTCTGGATACCTGTTCTTCCTATTCTCTCACATTTGTAAAAATATAGCATTTTCCAAGCCTTTTAAAACTACAGTGCCCATTTAGATAAGGTAGTGTGAGCTGCACTTCCAACCTCCAGTTGTCCTTCAGTGATCTTTTTGTACCACATTTGGGAAAGTATTTTAAGTTAACAAAAAGCAGCTGCAAGGTACTATAATACAAAGGCCAATAAATTGGTTACATTTATGCCATAAATTATTTGTGATTGTTCATATTTCTATTTAGTTCAAATGTATTTTAATTGAGAATGTATTTCAAATGTACTACAGCTTTAGGTTCTGGAACTGTGTAGTTTAGGTAAAATTGAAATCCCTTTATTTTTGTACAAAAGATAACATAGCATTAGAATGGTGTAGCCAATACCAGATGTTCACAATTCACAATAAAAATACTTTATAAAACAATGTTGAGATCTTTGTTCTTTATTTTGTGTTCAGTAGCAGAATTTTTTGCTTTAAGTAGTTGGTGAAATTAAAATTCTGGCCCTACAGTTTCACCTTTAAAATATACAGATAGTCCTTGAGTTACAACCACAATTGAGCCCAAAATTTCCTTGCTAAACAAGACAGTTCTGGAGTGAGTTTTGCCTCATTTTATGTTCTTTCTTGCCACAGTTATTAAGTTAATCACAGCAGTTGTTAAGTTAGTAACACATTTGTAAATTGAATCTGGCTTCCCCATTGACTTTGCTTGTCAGAAGGTCACAAAAGGTGATCACATGACCTCGGGACACTGCAACAGTCATAAAGATGAGTCAGTTGGCAAGCGGCAGAATTTTGATCACATGACCATGGGATGCTGCAATGGTCATAAGTATGAAAGACGGTCATAAATCACTTTTCAGTGCCATTATAACTTCATATAGTCCCTGAACGAATGGTTGTAAGTCGAGGACTACCTGTACTCGCTCTCATTTGTCTCATAGTACATCCAGGATCCAAGAAAGTGTAATTAGATTCCCTCATCCTACCTCCAAAAAGCCATTCCCTGTGCCACAACAATTGACTTTAAAAACTTGATGTCGAGGTCAGTTGTTCTTTGGGAGAGGAAGTCAGTAATTTCATTGCATTAGCATAAATCCCTTGAGTGTAGCCTTATAATCAGCTCTTCATCTCCTGATCATTGTGAAATATTGCTATTTTTGGACCGTGGAGGATTATTGTAAAAGTTATATAACTACTTAAATTTTCTAGTATGCTTCCTGTTGTTGCTATGTATTAGCCTACAGATGGGGCTAGAATGTTTTTAAAAAATTACTGTCATATACTTCAGAATTATTTCACCAATTGTGTTCTTGTTTTCAAATGTTTATATAGATCAAAATTATAAAATTATTTCTTATTTTATTTTGAGTGGAATGTTGACATATATCTATTTGAGAAACCACAGACCATTAAAAACGTAATATACCATTGCTTGGCTAAATATGTTGATTTAAAGCTATTCCACAGTTACTAATAAAAACCCACTTGGTATTATTGATTATCCATAGTTAACATGCAAAAGCATACCCACCCCTGGACTGATTGCATGTCTCTGTGACTCCCTGTATTAAAAATAATTTCTTTTGACAAATTTGAATGTGTATGTACTACTTATGTACAATTGTTTACAGTGTCAAAATAAGAAAATAGTTATTATGGCAGATGCAGAGATTTGGACACCCAGTTGATTCACTTCTAGATTTCTTTATTATAAAATTGTTAGTAAGGCCTATAAAGGTGATTGACTCATGTGAGCTGCAGATAGGCAGGCAAAGATAATTTTCATTGGACATTATAACTTTTCAAGGTAGAAATGCTTTTGTCTCTACTTTCAATATTTGAGCATTTGAAAATAAAGACAGTTCACTCTTACAAAATAGAAGAAGGTTTGTTGTGTAAAAAAAACCCCTCTAAATCATTGTTTCTCAAACTTTTTAAGATGTTAAAATGGCTGACTAGGGAATTCTGGGAGTTGAGGTCCATCCACCTTAAAGTTGCTGAGTTTAAGAAACACTATTTTAAATGCTTCTAGCTAGCAATTTCAACTGTCAGAAACACGGTTAACAAATAGAAGTTACATGGAACATTTGAAGTAAAAGCTGAAAAACCAAAACAAATCTTTCTTAGAACGACTTCCAAGCTAGTTAAGATCTACAAAACAGAATCAACAAAGCCTGCAACAATTGCTGAAAAGTGAAGCTGTCATTTGAATAGTTTTCCACAGGTCTACTGAACAGTGTGGTTAATGCAATTGTGATCTGCATGGGAAAGTTGTCAGGGGAAAACATTTTCTTTGCATGCATCATATAAGTTGCAGTTCAAAATATGCAAACCATCAGTGTGAAATTTTTTGGAGCAAAGTGCTCTGGATTGATTAAACAAAAACACAACTCTTTTACCATAGTAACAATTTTGGAGAAAAAGATATTTGGGGGGAAAAAAACCACCTTGCCATCCATTAAGCACAGAAGTGGCCTTATTAAGTTTTTTAAGTTGAATGGATATAAGTAGTACAGGGAATACTATACAAGTGAAAGCAACAATGGGTTTAAGTAAAAAGCAAAATGTTGTAGAAAATGTTCCAATTAGTGAACAAATTGAAGCTGAAAAGAGATTGGATATGTCAATACCAGTGATCCAAAATATACCTCCAAATCAACTATGAAAATACTTACAGGAAAGAATGCTATAGATTTTGGTATGGACTTCAAGTCTTGAATATTATTGGTATGGACCTGACTTGAATATTACTGAAAAGTTCAAGGAAGATTTCAAAGATGCAATATGCGCAAGGAGTCCTGGGGAATTAATTAAAACAGTGTTTCTCAACCTTGTCAATTTTAAGGCATGTGGACTTCAACTCCTAGAAGTGGAATTCTGGGAGTTGAAGTCCACATGCTTTAAAATTGTCAAGGTTGAGAAACACTGAATTAAAATGTTGCAAGGAAGATTGGGAAGAAATTGCAGAAGCAAAAATAAGCTAATTATAAAAAAGATTTAGAAGCAGTTATTTTTGCCAAAGGGGATGTAACAAAGTACTGATGCAAATGGTGTCCAAACTTCTTCACTTACTACTTCCATTTTTCTTATTTTATAAACAATTGAACATGAATAGTACATATACGTTCATATTTGCAGAAATCTTTCCATGCAATTATATCACAAATCAAGCTAAATATGCGCAAATAAAAATTGTAATCTTTTTAATGGTTTCTATAGGTAGTCTTCAACTTACGATTGTAATTGAGCCTGGAATTACGGTTGTAAGTTGAAGCATCATGTGACTGGACCCAATTTTTGGACATATGCAACAGTTATTAAACGCATCCATTTTCCCCAATGGCCTTTTTTTATCGGAAATCAGAAGTTAATGTCAGAAACCAGCAAAAGATGTAGCAATCGCAGACATGTGCTCAAGAGACACTGCAAATGTAAAGAAGAGCTGATTGCCAAGCACCCAAAATATGTTCATGTGACCACAGGGATGTGTGTGAGGCCGTTGTGATTTTGAAAATGGCTCATAAGTAGCTCTGGGGTGGCCCATCGTAACTGGACATACACACACACATATGGAATCTCTAATAGGTAATCTCAGAAATACCTTGAACTGATAGTTAGAGGACCAGCTACCATGTAATAGAAACATTACTGGGAAAGATTATTTTTAAAATTATTTTTTATAATTTGTCTTGATTTTTTTGAATATTGAAGTAGAAAAGCAGAAATTATTTTGGATTAGTTATTAATATTCTGAAAACTATGAAATGTGCAGCTTTGGTTATTGACAAAGTAGATTTAAATAGGTCTTATTCAAATATTATTTAAACTGTATTGAGGGTATTGTAATTAAACAGTTTCTTGGTGGATAATACATTTTATATAGTGAGAGCATTTGTAGGAATTTGAGTTTGGTATAACTTCCATTATTTCATAATTCTTTTTTTCCAAGTTGGTTTGCATTGAACTGTATTAAATGATTTATTTTATATTTTAGTTTATTAAAACAAAGGCTTTAGTTTATAACACAATCTCCAGTCATGTTGGAATTAGAATTTCATTGATTAAAATACTAATTGAATGTATCAGTAACGAAGTTCTCTCTTTGGTAATTCCAAACATCAACATCTCAGTATTCAGGGGCACTAGAATACTGTTGTTTTTATATAATGATTTAATAGATATGTTACAGGCTTCTATATGTTTCTGAATTAAAGATATACAGAATCAGGGATATTCTGAAAAGTTAAAACATCCATGAGTTGCATTTCTGCTCAAATTTGCTAGGGTAAAATGATAAAGTCATGAAAAAGGCAAAACTTTTGAAACCTTTAACTCTCTTTGATTAAACTAAATGTTACAATGTTTTCTAATTGTGATTGAACTGAATTTACAAGAAGATACTTCTGATTCCCAGAGATCATAAAGAAGCAGGGTGAAGGAGTACCAGACTTAGTCCACGTCATGCGTACATTGCAAACAGAGAGCATCCCAAATCTTCCACCCGGGGGTGAATTGGCGAGCAAGTAAGTTTCCACCAGTGTAAATATGCTTTTGAGTTTAAATAAGGTATACCTTTCATAAACACTGTCATAAGGGTGATAAAGTAATTTCAATAACATTCATTAATAATCTCACTCTCTTTCAATTGTTATTACAAATGATGAAAACAGGCAAAACTAATAGAAATTGTAAAATATTTCATGCTCAAAATGCATCCTTTTATTGAGTTTGAAATTAGCATGAAACAATTGTTTTGAGTATGAGGCTAGAGTATTTCAAGTATTTTGGGTGTGTTTAAAGCTTGAAGCAATATATTTCTAATTTGAGGCAGACTTCCTTCAAGGTTAAAGCATCTTCCCAATGCTCAAAATGACCTGTTTGTTTTTTTTACTTGAAATGGGGTTTTGAAACTGAAATAGGTTGTGTTGATTTAAAATGGATTGAATTCAGATCATTGTATACTTTCCTGCTCTGTTGCATACTAAATGCTAAAAATAAAAGGCATCAGTGCCAGCTGATCAATTGATTTTTAGAGAAATATCCTAACATTTAAATATGTTTGTTATTTGATGATTTAATAATGTTAACATTTAATTTACAAATGGTCTTATTCCAGATAAAATGGATTAATGGCTTCCAAGATTTTATTGTCCAGGGAATATAACTTTAAAAGAAAATACTTTCTGCTACTTGTGATGTTTACATCAAAACGTGGTATGAAGTTAAAACATTGCCTACCAGACAGTTAGTAGAACCTTTGGCGTTATATGACCTGAATTAGTTATATGTTTATTTCTGAGTTCAGTTAGTGTACTGCACGAAGATAATTTAATATCCTACTTAAGCTAGTTTGCTTGCTCCTCCCATTACTTTTAGCTCCACAGTTTCTTTTTTTCTTTGTTTTGTTTTTTTAAGATCATGTTCTTATTTTCTTTTAGTAATCTGAAATTTTTGATGCCAGCTTGAATTCCATTTGGCTCAAATATGTACAATTTGTTCATAAAACTAGACATACTGGTAATGATAAGGATCAAGGGCATTTTTTACAATATTTATATTTAAAAACTTTTAAAAATTGTGTTTGACTACTAGGAATTGCTGTCCTTTAAAATTTGTTTTATTTTGTTTTTTCTTTACCTGATTTAGACGGAGTGTGATTGAAGCCATTTATAACAGACTGAATCCTTATAGGAATGATGAAGCTGTGAGTATTGGCACCACCTAGCTGTTTTACTTTATTAATTCTGACTGAAAAATTACTTGTCAGTCTTTAATTTTACTTTAAATTTTAGTATAAATCATGTTCACTAAAACATTCTTTTCACTATGCTTAACCTTAATGAAGTACCAAACTGAAATATCTTGGAAGATTCTATTGCTTTTAGGTTAAATGACCAGCTATAATTCATTGACAAAAAATACTGTGCTTTGAAGTTATTTATTTAAGGGTGATGTTTGCTCTCAACAACTTTATCTCATATGTTTTGTTAAATATATAATTTGTCCCAGAGTATAGAAAAGAAAATCAAAATCCTAAAATTATGGACATATCTACTACCCTTTTCAGTCTGGATTATCCAGAAATTGCTGTAATTTTGGGCGCTCCAGACTTTAAAGGGTTTGTTCTCTTTTCTTAAAGGACTCTGCATCAACTGATGATATGTGGTAAAATGCCATCTAAGCTGTGGAATTAGCACCGATTCTCCTAATGGGAAACCAACAACGATCCTTCTTAGCATCAGTTTCACATATGCTTGAAGGGAAGTGATGTTGGTATTAGTGAATACATCAGAAAACAGCAGTTCAACACTTATCCCAGGAATTTTTTTTTTTTTTTTTGTGAAGCAAACTTCTGTAAAAGTGATACTGAAACTATGATGCTGTAAATTGGACTCCAAGCAATTTTATGTTGTATGATTTTGTTTTGTAAAGTGCAGTTGTGGTTGTCCAGAATGCTTATTCATAATGAGCTGTTTTACATCGTAAATGAAAGGCTTGGTTTGTTGTTTAACACAACAGTACTCTAGCTCTTTCTATTTGTTTTTGTGGTTCTGGATTGCTGGGAGTAGCAACCTAGCCAGCAAAATACTCAGGAGGTGCATGAAAATTTTGTAAAGGAAATTTGATATAAAGGCAGATTGTTGTAACTGTAGTATGGAAAATAACTGGAACACAGTTAATTTTCCTTCAGACTTTAATTGTTTTTTGATCTTAAAATTATGGCAGATCTAAAGTCCCACTGAAATATGTGAAAGATTTCAGCAAAAGAAGAAAAGTTCATCAACTTTACAAGATGGCTATTAAATAGATCCTGGGAGCTAAAAACTTTGATGAATTGCACCTTTTTTAGAGAAAAACTTTACCTTCGATTAAGTAACAGTTATGTTAAGAAATGGTATCTTTCTATATTTAGTAGGAGCATGCACCATTTTATTAGCCCGATTGGCTGGATTGGCTGCTGTTCCAAGTAAAAATTCTTTTTAATTCCATTTTATCAATAAAGCTTGATTTAACAAGAAATTTAACAAGAAATGTGTAACTCATTCTCTTTCCTTTTGTCTTCTGAAATGTTCATAAATAAAGTGTCATGTTGATAAATATTTTTATTAAACAATTGCCCATTTATGAAATGGGAAGAACTCTTGATTGTGCCCAAGGCACAAATGGAGTTTATTTTCTAATTAATGGGCATAATATGCTTTGAGAAACAGAATGATCTTGTTACATGAGTTTTATTTCAAGATTTTAGTTTGATAGCATTATATGAGCATACTGTATACTTGCTTCTTAACGAAATTAATTTGTCAGAGCCTGACAATCTTATTTTGACTGAACAGTAGGTGTGATTTGAAGTGCATAGATTCAGAATATTTAATCATTGAGTTTAATTTGCTTTTTTTTAAAAAATGAAATAATAAAACTAATTTGACTTGAATTTTCCTCTACTGAAAACAAGATAAATTGATTATGTGTTTGCAGAACTACTGTTTTATGCACCTTGTATTTTCTTTTTGTTTTTTTCAGTTGAGGGTATTGTATGATCATTATGTATTTCTGTAAATTTTCAGCCAACTGATGCCCCTCCAAAGGAAAACCAACAATATATAAATAGATAGTAACAATGTAGCTAGCATTTTTTAAAAGGTGTAAAACATACCTTTTTATAGGAAGCAATGTACAACTCACATGTTTATATCCCTCTTTCCTTAATTTCCAGATATACATTTGTTTGTATATAGAGCCTTAAAACTATTGCAGTTAGGAAATGTTGAAAAAGTAATGTCTAAGGATTGTTATTATTATAATCGGCAAATATTTTATTTCTCTTGTTTGGTTGTTTAACATCACTGTATTCAGTTTCTACCCTTTTGAAGCATGAATGAAGAAAACATAAGCACTATTTGTATTTATAAATTTAGAGCAGCTTTAGGTAAAGCAGCAGTCACTCACCCTACCTACATTAAATGCTTAAAATACAGTTTTGTTGAGTTCAGGCAATAAAATTGTTAAGTATAACTTCGTATACACCTAATTAAGAGGCTATATTTGAAGTACTAATCAATTAACAAGAATGGATTGGTTTTAGAGTTAGGAACAGAACTCAGCATTGTTTTTTGTGTATATTGAAGTATACACATATATAAAGGTGGCAAAAACTCAGACCAGAAACAAGTTTTTAAAATTCTCAAATGGAAAGCCATATGATTAATATTATCAATTGTAATAACAGCACTTGTTTAAAATTCGTGCAACGTCTTAAAGATGAGAACCGTTATTCTGCTATTACTTACAATCATTCTTAAAAGTAAGAGTTGGGTAGAAAAGAGGTACAGCAGTTGTACATTAGCCTATCTACGTTTGGCTCTTTACTGGAGTCAAGGCACTGTGTTACTAGGCTTATTAATTAATACATGGCAATTTTATGTATTAATCAAAGTGAAATTAAATTCATATAATCCATGAATTACAAATTTTAATAAGGATGCTTTTTCTTGTTCACCAAACTGCAAAAAATAAAACCGTGTTGTTGTTGTTTTTCATTTTTGCAACTTTTTTATATGCTAGAAATGTCTGAACACCTCAGGGGCAGTCCAGCATAGTTTAAAGAATTGTGTGCTACAGTATTTATTTCCCTAGTCAGAGGTGAAAGAGTGGATGCCTGTCTGCTGATGAAATAAAATAAAACAATGGTCCCAAATTTTGCTTTTTCTTTCTGTGCATGTTGTTCTCTACACAGTATTTTTCACAGCATTAAATTTCTGGTATAGTTTAAATGGAGACTTTTGAGAATTGATAAATTTAAGGTAATTTAAGGCAATTCTGTATTAAGTAGCTTTAAACATTGATACTCTCTCATTCATTTTGGGGGAGAGAGGCGTGTTTGGGTTTGTTTTAAAAAAGTCATTAATAAAGTAAGTATGATTTGGTTCCACACTATTAAGTACCCCCATGTTTCTCCTTATCTCAGCATAATCCAGGGAACATACTTCTAGGGCAAGGGTGTCAAACTGGCGGCCCACAGGCCAGATGCGTCACTCATAGGCCACACCCACACCGCCTTCACAAAGGCAAAAAACGTCTCAATATGTCATGACACCCGTGTTCTAGGAAAACTAAACCAGGAATTAAGACCTTCCCTTCTCATCATGGGTCACTTGCAAACTTCCCTGGTTTTTCATGATTGCCCTTAAATAAAACAAGGATTAGGGATGCAGCCTTTTGCTTAACTCAGTATCTCTGATTATTTCAGTAGCTATCAGCACTCTACTGAGGTTGCCCATTGTCTGTAAATGGGAGAGGGGGAAGTGTAATAAATGAAATTTCACATTCTTTGTAATAGTTTATTTTTCTTTTTCCCCATGGGGAAAAAGAAAACTTGTGGCTTTCCAACAACATATTCCTGACAAAAATCATATAAGAAAAGCAGATCATATGCCTTGTCATGTCAAGGGGTACAAAAGCCATAACAACAACTACAAAAATATCACCACAAACCTCCATTTCACCCACCACTGAAGGGAGATCTCCTCAAACAACCTAGCCCAGGTTTGGGGAAACAACCAACTTGAATATGATGCCCACTCCAAACCAATGGCTGACCTCCTTAAACAGTCTCAGTTGTTAAACAGGAGGGGTGAGAGCATCAAACCTTGAGGCTCTTTACAAGCCTTGGTGCTTGGGCTTGACCTCTTCCCCCATTAATATTGAATAGAATCAGCTGCAGTGAAGGAAATCACCAGAACACCTTCTCTCTACTGACCCTGTAGTCAGTCTGGAAGCATACCATTGTTGCTGATTTTGAAAATTGCTGAGAGATCCAGAGCACCCAATGGTTGCATCATTCCCATTCTCCTCCTACCTGAAGTCATTGGTAAGTGCTATTGATGCAGTATCAATACTATGTCCTGTCCTGAAACCCAACTGAAAAGAGTCTATATAATCTGTTTGATTCAGAAAGGTTGGAAAACTGGATGAACATTATCAAGAAAAAATTACTAGTTTGGTATAGTACACCAAAGAAATGCTAGGGATGTTGCGTATCTTGATCTCAATAAAGTATTATGACAGTCTTGTGTGATATCTTTGTAGACAAGATGGACTGATGGGTAAATCACAGATTCATGATGCTTGAACAAATGCATTCAAAACATTTCATAAAGGGTTCTGCATCAACATGGAGGAGGATATTGAATTGGGTCCTCAAGGTTCCATTTTTCACCTTATTCTATTCAACATTTTGGTACGTGGCCTAAAGGCTGGTACGTGGCTAGGGTGATTAGATATATATATATATATATATTAAACTATACTCAACTGTTACGATGTTCCATGATGGCTAGTCATGCAAATGGCTATAGAAAATCATACTCATAGATACAATATTATGGAGATATAACTTGGCAGCAATGTATGTAAACAAGATCAAGGAATATTGGATATCCGCTAAACATGAGTAAGCAATTTGGATGCAGCAGCTAAAAGTGAAGTGTCATTTAGGAGTGCATTGAACGACGCAATATAATATGCAAACTAAAGAGATATTAGTTTCATTGTATCCTGTACTAGTTAGACTGCATTTGGAGTACTGGGTCCAGTTCTGGGCACCAGATTTTAAAAAAGAACATGATAAAGCTGGAGGAGGTTCAGAGAAGAACTACAACAGTGTTGGGATGTCTGAAAATCAAATCCTGTGAGCAAACCGCTTGGCACATTTAGCTTATAGAAGAAAGACTAAGGGATGATATAAAATTCTATAAATATCCAAAAAGTTTTTACATGCAAAAAGGGATGTAAAACAATAGGGCAGGCTTCAGTGGGTTTTAACATGAAAGAAAGTTGGTGCAGAATATCAGAAGTAGTTTCCTGATAATAAAAATTGTTAAGCAGTGGAACCATCTGCCTGCAATAGTAGTGGACATCCTGTTTCTGAGTGGTTTAAATGAGAAGTGAATGGCCATATTCCAGGAATAGGAATAAATAGTTTAGAATCATAATGGGAAAGGCCATCTAGATCAGGGCTTTTCAACCAGTCCCCTTCCTTGGCTGGGTGAGGCTGGAGCGCTCAGCCTTTAGCATGGCAGCAGGTGGGACCACCGGGGGAGCGCTGCTTTGCAGGACAAAATGAACGGAGGTACTTGCAAGTCCCGCCCCAGCTATGGCGAGGAGCTGCAACTGCATCTGTGCCCAGGGGGTGAGGAGAAGGAACCGGAGGGGTGTGGAGGCTGGGCTGCCTTCTGGCCCGCTGGATTCAGGTTTTTCCTTCGAGGGGGGGGGTATATGGCCTGACTCGCTGAAATGCAAATCCCTCTCTAAGCAGGGATTGGGAGGCTGAGGGCCTCTATCTTTGTGGCCATGCAGTTCTAAAATCAATGGGCTGCTGCTGGGGAGGAGAATCAAAATAGGGCAAAACAAGCATAATCCACCAAGGTTTATTGATTGCAAAGTTTTCCTCGGGTTTTCCTATCCCTTCCTGGGCTATTAAAATCTCATTGGCAAGGTCTGTACTGAACATCTGGCTGCAAACTAAACCAGATTTTAGCCTAGTCCCTTGTGCAATGCCAGGCCACATTCTGGAGGCAAGAGGATGTAGTAACAGGAGAGAGCTGCAAAATTGATTCGTTATTTATTTTTCTCTTTAGCAGCAATAACTATGTTCTTTGACGACTTTGCTAGCAACCTGCAGGCTGTGAACTTTTCTTTCCTCCTTGGGGAAAGAATGCAGAAGAGCTAGATTTATTTTTCCTGCTAATTATAGTATACCTTGTTGGTTTTTTAAGGAGCTTATGAGAAAAAGACGTGTCTGAAAATTAAAGGATGTATTGATTGAGTTGTGAGACAGGAAAGGGAAGTACATGGACGTATGCACTTCCAGTTACTGACAGGCGTGCCACTAATATTCTGATTTGACACCTGCATGATCTCAGGGCCCAAAGATTATCTTCATTCTTCATAGGGTGGTATTGTGGATTAAGTAATTTTTTCTGATTTTAAGGTGAGTGTCTTGAGCTACGGAGGCCTTTGATCTTCTTAAATGCATAATAATAAAATAATGAGAACCAAAAGCTGAAAAAGAAGGCAGATTAGAAAGAACGAGAGCTTTTGGGGTCTTCAATTCCCTTCCTGTTAAGAGTTCCTTAATAAGGTTTGCTCTTCCTTCCTAACATCAATAAAGGTGGTTTTTCCAGAAAATATGTGAAGAGCTGTAATTAGTGATTTAACTATGTTTTCTTTTTGGCTGTATTTTAATTTATATATAATGTATGTTTAATCGAGGAGGGCTTGGAGAGGTAGAGGTGGCCAATATGGAGGCTGCACCTTGACCTCCAGATCTCTTGTCTCCCCAGTTGGACCCAGAGGAAAACGTCCTCCACCTCCTGCTTTGCCGGAAGGGGGCACCAGACACACACACACACACACATATTCCAAGCTTGGAGACTTGTATCCACATCTGAGCTAGCAAATTGCCAATCATGCTTGGGCTTGGGGAGAAGGCCCTCTCCTTCCTCTGTGGATAAAAGTCTCCAAACCTGGAATGTGGTGTGTGCGTGTGTGTGTGCGCACATGCGCATGTGCTTGGCTGCTAGCAGTTTGGGGAGGCAAAGAGTTTGTGGGGCACTGAGTTGCCCCCATATTGAGTTAGCCGATGCGACTTGTTCCGTTCCGACCCAGCTGTCTCAAGTCAGCAGTTGAGCAGGCCATGCCCAGTTGCTAGGCGATTGGTGGTACTCGAATATTACCATATCCTAAAAGTGATACAATCTCTGAAAAGCCCTGATCTAGATCATCAGTTCAGGCTAATGCTCCATGCAGGGATCCAAATTTAGAACTTCCAAAGTAAAAGGCTATCTAGTCTCTGCTTGAATGCATCCAATGAAAGGGACATGCCATCTTGATATTTAGTTTCATTATCAAATTGCTCTTCAGTTGGAATCTGCCTTCCTGTTACTTAAACCTATTATTCTATGTCCTGCAATCAGAAATGAGAACCAGTCCTGGCCTTTTATGTGACATCCATTCAGGTATTTACAAGAGTGCTCTCATATTCTCCTCTGCTGACTTTTCTCAAGGCTGAAATAAACAGCTCCTTTCATCTCTCTTTGTAAGTCTTTTAATCATCCTCATCACCCTTTTCTGAACTTGTTTTCACTCTTCATAAAACAAGATGCCAAGAATTAGGTAATAGTGCTTGAACTGGGATCCTGTCAGAACAGAATGAAACAAAATTATTAATTCCTGTGATTTGGAAATTATTCTTCTATTTATACAGCCTATTTATGTGGTATTTGTCTTTTTTGCAGTTATCAGACTGCTGGCTCATCTTCAGTTTGCATCCAATTTCTATTCCAAGATCTTTTTCACAAGTTGGGTTTTATCTGTATATTTTATTTATTTTATTGTTTTTAGATTGTTACAGAGTTTTAACTGTTGTGCTGTACCGCCCAGAATCATGTGCTTGTGAGAGGGATGGCTACATAAATTAGCACCATTGAGGACGGATTCATGAGCCACCTTCAGCAAAGGAAGGAGGAGGAATGTCAGCTATTCCTCATCTTTTTATGCATGAACAGTTGTCCTTATTGCACAGATCCACCTCCTCCAATCTGGCCCATCCAGAGGCTTTGGGACTGCAATTCCCTCCAGGTCAGGGGAAGCTAGCACAGATGAAGCCCATCTCTTCCCTTCAAATTCTTCCTGGACCAGAAATAGAAACCTAGGATCAGGCTACCCAAAATGTGGTTTGGGGACATTGATTAGGAAAGGGCTTTTTTTTTTTGTGCCAGCCAGTTTCACCAAATTACTGAGTTCTAGCATTGAGATGAGAGACAGAAAATGGCACTTCATCCCTTCTTTCATACCATACATAATTTCAGACTCTTATGTC